TCTCTTAAATTTAAAATTCCTTTGTCATACTCATACTGCACGAAAACTGAATTAAAGACAATATTACGCAGTAGTATTTCATAGAAGGCAAATTGTTCTAAAGTAATATCTTAGTTTAAATAGATCATTACGTGTGTCAATATGTCATCATAACCGTAATTTTAAACTGTAGAGTTGAACACCGGTCATTGATCAATTGATCATTGTCTTTTCAGATGAAAGTGTTTTAAACGTTTGTAATTAGCACGTAGATGCAACCTTAACGTAAGGTTTTTGAGATCCACTGAATCATCTATTAAACTCTTACCTGCCATTAATATTTTCCTACAATGAACCTGGTATAGATAAAATTGGAGTTCAAAATAACCTATGTAATTAAAAATATTGAAAGATTAACAAGAAATGCCAGATTCATGTACAGTTGTTCCATTTATTTTCATTATAGGATTGTAAATGGTAGATTGGGACTGTAAATAGTAGATTAGGTGTATACAAGAAAGAAAACGCAAATATTTTATCAGGCAGTTATATAATGACGAGCACAATTTGCCGGCCGCCGAAGACCTTGGCCGTGACCAAGCGAAGTAACACTTCCCGCGGCGTGACGCGGCACAGACTTGCGATTAGGGACACGCTATAACCGATTTTATATACTTTAAAATTAATTTCTAATTCGGTTTGCAGTCATATAAAGTTCGTTAACTATATTAACAAATATACATTAACCATTTCTAAATATTATACGTAATGTGATTTTTAGTCCTGTCTCTATGCTCACCTGAACGAATTTTATTTAAAGATATATACAAGTAAGTTTTATTAACTGATAAGATTATGGATATATCGATTTACTATATTGTAAGGAAAATATAAACGAGTTTATGATCAAGTTACTGCAGCCTGTAGTGACTAAATCAAAAGTTGATAGTACGTCGTTAACGGTAATGGAAGAAATTTAAAACATGACATAAAAATGAAAACATAATGCAGACATATTGTTATTCGTCTGAATCAATCACGATGCACACAAGGACAAGAGAACAACTTAACCAGAAAGAATTATTACACGTGGCAAAGCGGATGACAGACGAAAAAGCATCAACGAAGACTCTGACAACCATGTCTTTCTATCATGCAACTCAACTCAGATTCCAAAAAGACAAATGCAGTAAGTTACCTAATATTCAACATTATTTTTTATGTAACTAAAATAGTACAAGCTGATAGTAAATGGTAATCTACGCCTATATACATGAACAGCACCACGAACACCTCGTTATCAGCCTTTGAAACCACTCATTACTTTACCGCTACGGAGGATTAAGATGTTACGCATACATATCCTATAATTTCATTATTTTATCTAACCTTTCAACAGAAATACAACTTATAAAGCAAAATACTAGCGGCTCAAAGAGGTAGGACTGAGGTATCCACACAGACTACATTTTATTCTACATCAGTATAAAGGTATTTAGACACATGAATTATTATACATTCAAATTCAAATTCAAAAATTATTTATTCCTGTAGGACAATTTAGCCGCTTATGAACGTCAAGTTTTTACATTATATTTTTTTTTCCCTACCGTCCAGTACGGTATATAGATCCAATTGAGAAGAACTGGCAAGAAACTCAATTGTATTACTTTTTTTTAAAAGCCAGTTTATTTACAATGCATAGATATTTATATGGGTGTCTATGTCTAACATTAAATGAAAATCCCGTACATGAAAAACTATTGCCATGCACGCTCGTCATTCAAGTAATCGTTTAGTGAGTAATAGGCCTTGCTCAGTAAATATGATTTAACTGATGTTTTGAATTTATTTAAGGGTAATTCCAATATAGGGCTACTGTTCATGTTATTTATAGTTACTACTAGTATATCTCTCACTTTTATTTCAGTAAGTGTCATTTTAACTGAGTATGGAAAGATCAAAGACAAAAGTTATGAAATACTATCTTAGTTCATCTATCATATAGTTCCTTATATACATAGTTCAAGTAGATCTACATTTGTAATATGGCTACCTATTACATAAGTATATTAAAACATTTTCAAATTTACAAGTACTGTAGTCATATTTGCGTCATAATATTAATTGTTATAAAGCACGGCTAACATGTAATGTATTCTGGGACTCAAATAAAAATTCATTTATTATTTTATAGAGCGGTTTCCAAGACAATTGTATCATTGTCAAGGCCTTCTACTTTATTTGAATTCATTGCCGCCCTCACGTTAACTCACATTAGGAATACTAATGATAAATTCGTACCTACTTTATTTTGTGTAGAATGGATGGACACAGAATGAATCATAATTTTACCTGTTTCGCTAATGTTTTTTTTATTTATTATATTTAATAACTATATTTTTCATTGATAAATGCTTTGATTATCGTTATTAATATTAAAATAATACGTTAGACGTTGTTAATCAAGACTAGGTTTACCATTTGTATCTCTCTGTAAGTAAGTAATATAGCCAGAAGCAACAGAGATGGATTCAACATTTTTTTCGTCACAATCCAAATCTTTCTAGAAATTACTTCCGATTATATAGTAGGTATTAATATTCTCTGCACCCATTACCATCATTGTTTCAGATCTATTTATATGTACAGAAAATAATCTAATGCAAAATATTACCCTAATTGCTTTTAAGAAAAACAGATCTTAGTAAAGTATTATTTTAATACTGGTAAGAAAGTATCAACGTGTTATAAAGGCGAAGAAAAACTAAAAGACTAGCTGCTCTACCATCAAACCAAATGCGATCGATCGACATTGGAATATGTTGTTTTGGTTGTAAATATACACTACTATGTACACTGCTTTCATATTTCGTGGTCTTCAAAGGAACTAACCAATATAGTGGTATATTTATTCGGTTTAACTAATTACGTTTCAATGAAACTGCAAAACACTGGATTGAGTTGGGCGTATTAATATAATTATTTATATATAATACGTAAAGCGCAATTTTCATAAAAAGAACTACAAATTTTTGCTTCACGTATTATATTTATGAAAATTGCGCGGACGAAGAAGTATAAAATTTCCTACACTTATAGTTTATACTGAGGAATGTTGAATACAAAAATTACATTAAATTAACAAAAAAAAATATTACAGACATCATGTATTTGACACATAATTTATATACTATACAGGTATGTATCAAATACATATTACTTATTGTCTTTTATAATAGAACCGTAATAATGTTCAAACTTGAACTTCAATTAATTATGGTCTAATTCGACCATTAGGCCACCACTAGTACTCAATAAATAACCCTACAGTAATGTTGAATAAATGTCATTATTACTATTTATTACTAGATCTAAGAAAAGAAGTAGAACGAAGCTTGTAAAGTGAGCAGGGTTATTGAAAAGTGTAAGTAGTTTAAAAAAATATTATTTAAATTTATGAATTACTGACTGCTACAAGCTACTTTGTCTTTCGTTATTACGAGATATTTATTGAGATAAAAGATAGCCTATGCTCTTTCTCGTGATACCCACACTATTTTCATGTCAAATTTCATTAAGATTCGGAACTTTAAAACCTACAGATGGAGATACAGAAAAGAAAAAGAATTTAATAGGTTTCTGTAGACTTTCGGTCACGTAATAATAATATAGAGACATTATTTTAAATACACATTACAAAAATAGTATTAAGTAAAAAGTATTATGAGATTAATATGACGACGACATGAACAAAGACTGGAAAGATTTACTCATAATTAATCTTCAAAGTTCAAGGAAAATATCTTTATCTAATGTAAAGCTAAGAGTTAATTTGAGTAGAAATTAAAATGTAAGCAGACAATATAGTAATATTTGTATAAAAGAAGTATGAATTTTGTTTTGATAGTAAAGCTAAAAATACGCCTACGCATCAAATAGCTGATTGACGAGCGGAGATGGTTAGATTGTTGACTAAGTGTTACAAGGCTAAATCAAAACATCCCTTTGTTGTTCCTTTATTACGATGCTTTAGCAAGATACTCGTTTCATCTCCGTACTGTTTGGCACGCATTCGGCACAATGTTACATCACGCTGACGTCAAACTATCAAATGAGTAAAGTTCTTGCCTTGTTAAAGAGATAGAAAGTAAAGTATTTTAAAATTATTAAATAGAAATATAACTACAACGTTCGAGGTCCAGATAAATGTATTGAAGACGCCTAGAGTCAATACACTTGCAACCTTGCAGTGTTCTCTACAACTCGTGTCAGATAAAGATATAAGGGCATTAAAACATTGCTACTTTATAAGCATACACAAGTGAAGTTAAAGGATATTCACACATTATATCAATACAATTGTTTATTGAACATTACAAACACACAATGAACAAATATGCTGAGTGTTGGTCACATGAGCATTAAAAAAAATAACTAGACAATATTTTTTCAGATCCCTGAATGTGATGAAGATTAAATTTACCTGAAAGTATTAAATATTTGTTTTAGATCAAATTGAAAAATTAAAGTTATCTTACATATTTAACTACTTATATATTCACAACTTGAAGAACATGAACAGCTCCATGTTCAAAGCATGTTTATAGAGTTATCTATGAATAACGCTTTAAAAAAACTATAGGTGAACGAGTTCGTAAATTGTATAAATTCTCTAGAATTAACGATATCATAATACATGTTTACAAGTAAATGTTAGCAAATCTCGTTATACTTAAATAAGTAAAATATATTAATTAATTCTTTCAACGAATTTACGACGTATACGTGATTATAGCAACTGTACGCATATAATAATCGTAGAATATAAGTCTATCAAATTGTTCACAGAGAGAAATAAAATATTGTGCAACATGCAGAACTTCATTTTTAAAGTTGACACAAATGCCATGAGATATTATGTGCCGTAGTCTGGAGTAATGCATCACGGTCGCTAGTGGCGGTGGCGTTACGGCTGGGGCCTTCGTGACGTCACTCATCAAAGGTAACTATTAAATTACAGTTGAAATATGTTGAAAGCCGGTTGCGGATCGTGCATCGATTTTCGAATACCGTCGCGAGCGTCACCGGTCCTGCAGCCGGTACGGGCGGCGTCGCTGGTGTGACTGCCGCGCCGCGTCCCCGCTCGTGTCCGCGCCGCCACCGTTTGTTTTGCTGTATTTTCGTTGTTAATCATTCTCCTTGACCTTGTGCGACGTCGAGTGGTCCACTGCACACGACTGCGCACCCCTCACCCTGTTACCCGCCCGCGATGCCTGTCGCATGTCGCCGCCGCATCACACGTGCTAGCACTGTGGCGGTGCCAATTCCAGTACACCAGTATACCCTCAACCACAACTCGCTTTGTAGGCCTCATAACTTTAGAACATCATAGAGACCTACTACACTTATATACACTATATACTACTTATATACAATATAGTAGTGGTAGCCATAATGATCTAGATAACATCTAAATTATATCTTGTGCTTTAGACGTTTTAGTCATATGTATGTTTGACCAAAACCAACTAATCAGAGGAACAGTTAAGGAACAACAAGAACAGTTAGAAACTCTAATTTTACGACCACGGACGAAAATTTCAAAGATTTGAAAGAAAGATTGCGAGGAATCGATCCCGGGACCATCGAAAAGCCGTCATTTGTTTTTAATACAAGCAAAAACACTGGTACATATTATTGGTAAGATTTTTTTTAATCTGAAGCTGAAGCTGAAGTAATTATGTAAATTGAAAACGGCGGCTGCAAAAATTTGGTACGGGCTTGCAACCATTTCTTTAAGCACCATTGTGGTTTATTACTGTTACATTACTGTTTATACATTGTGTATATTTTGATTTAGCCAATAGCAATATTTCTAAACAATAGTTTGTATGCAAGTTTAATTTTCATTGATTAATAATTTATTTAACAGCTGCAAAATTTTCCAACTATCTGTTTACATACATGTGGTTTATTTTGATCAAAATTGTGCAGAAAAACTTTAAAATGATTATATTAAATCTTACTTTAATTAAAAATTGGCCCATGCCCACATTCCCTATAAAATGTAAAATTCACTAGAGGAAATTAATTTTGAATATATGATAATATCAGAGTAATTATAGTAGTATTATTTCACAATACAGTCATATTTTATATAGTATTTGGGCAAGAGTTATTTCCTTTGGTTAACAGTAAATCTAATATTATATTAAGCCACACCATACTGTTTCATATAAAATTATTATTATAACATTAATTATATAATAATGTTTATAATACAAATAAAAAAATTAAATAGGTTTTTAATTTCAATTTTCATTCCTATGTTCAATATGTGTGATACAAACTATGTGCTTCATTTATACCAGTAGCGCCATCTAGATTGATATAACTGAACTATGTAACATGACACTGTATGAAACCTCTACACTTTACAAACCTTCAGTTCCTAGGTTGATTACTTAATAAATTTCTACATGCAACGCCATCTGGTGATATTAATAGTATTACCAGTTACTATTCATTTATTATTAATTAATGCCACAGCACAATACAATAATTTGTGGTCAAAGGCAGTTAAATATCAATAATGGTATTAAGTAATTGATTAGTTAGAACAATAATTCAGTCACTCTGTTGCATATTATATATAGAATTTTTTTGTCAATTAAGGCATATTTTTCTTCTAGTGAGTGTAACAACTAAATTGATCAGTAATTCTGTTCAAATGGATTTCCTATTGGACCCTACATTATTATGTTTAGAAATGGGAAATAAATATATAATGTTGAAATACTTAGTTAAATTAATATTTTCAAATCTAGGTTCTCGATATCTCAGCCTAGTGAATTCCAAATTAAACAGATTTAATACTTTAATCTGATAATATCTAATCTTATTATCTACAACAAAACTAAATAAATTTACAGAGAGAGCTCTACTCTCTCTGTAAATTTATTACAATTCTCATTTACTGTAATTGAGCCTACTTCTACTAGCCTATTAGTATAATAGAAGGAGGCAGAGATTAAATCTGCAGCTCTTTGTCATCCTAGAGAGTAATACTCTATGATAAAAGAGAGTGTTGCAGGGATAATCTCTCTAGCTCTTTGTAGAATGAAATGTACAGCTTCAAATTTACAAAATAAATATTAATATAAAATTTGTTATCTAAATTTTTGAAGGTCTGTTTATATGTCAATGTAGTAAGCCTTATATAAAAAAATAGCACAAATCTTTATCTCCATATTCCAAATAGCTCCTTTCAGTCTTATCCATGTAACTACATGCAACTTAAAAATGGAAATGATGGCTCTAACTATATTTTTGTAATGTTAAGTTACATTCTGCTATATCTGCCTCGGTGCTTTAGCGATTTAACACACCGTGTCGCTTCTTATAGCTGAAAGTGTGATTCCTCACACTACGAATATTTATATTCATGACTTTTTATATTGGTCTGAGTGTATTCTTAATACATTATGTATGTATTTACATACACAAGCTCTGCTTAGCTTAGGACTAGGTGGTATTGTGTGAATTGATCTAACATATTGGAATCATAAACTTTAGTTATAATCACTCATGGTTTTGAAGCACATCTGCTTTGGCAAAGTAACCTTGTACTGGCATGTACTTAAACCTTGTCATACTATAAATCCACGAAAATAGTTAATTTCTTAATATTTACACTACGATAAAGTTAATTTTAGTAAACGCGACTGTAGTATAGTATGCTGAATTTCATAGCAGACCATACCTAAGCCAAAATCTACTTCTTTATTTAATGAACCATAGCCACACATTCCCATAATACAACGTATTAATAACACGTACTAATTGACGAAAATTAACAAACTTAGACCTAAAAAATCCAAAAATATAATCTAAATAAACAATTCGTTATCTCGCATAATAAATGTTGTTGTAGTAAGATTTGTAGGTGACATAAATATAGGTATTGTATATATGATAAAACATGTACTTGCCTGATTCTCTTGAGGGCTCCATCCTCTTTTCTAATATATATATTTTCTTCAATAGGTTCAACACTTTCATAAATTATTACAGTGGCAAAGATGAACCTGTCAGTAACAAGGTCGTTGAACTAAATATACCTATACTTGAAATTACACCCGTTGTAAAACATAAATCTTTGGGGGTTCCTTGAAACACATTGATTATTAAACCTGTTGATTCACTTCAGTAATGAAATCTATATTTAACAACGCAACGAAAATTTTATTTATGATTTCACAAATAAGTAATTAGCTAAAAATAATTTATAATGATTTCAATACACAAAAAGACAGAGACAGATGACAGAAAACTAGTAAGCGTCACGTCAGAGAAATTTCGTTTAGAAATCTGCGTTTTTCTTAAGGAATTATTGAGTAAGTAACTGGAATAGTCTCTGTTTCTGATATTCATTGTATTGTCTACCGGAACGGATAAACAATTCTGAAGCGTGTCTCTTTCTAAGGGAATCATAACATGCGGCTTAAATTTAAAATTCTTATAATTTTTTAACCTGAAACAAAGTATGAAATAAAATTACATATACAACTTTTAATTTCTAATTAATATTAATATTAATTTCTACTGTTGATGCTTTGAAAAGTAGTAGGTTTATTCCTCAAATAATATGTTATAACACTGTACATCTTAATTTCTAACTTATATTTGTATAAAAATTAAATACTTTGGTAAATATCAATTAAAATTTATAACAAACTTGCTTTATAAAAGTATTTGAAGTCTGCTTTGTTAGAAATTTATTTTCCGGTTTACTTTATCGATACTGGCTACAAAAACATATAGTGGTTAATGGCTGTAAAATCTATAATTTCGCTTATACCATAATATACTCCACGCATACAGTATAGTATAAATTGTATAGTCACTACTAATCTGTACAGGTAGGGTACCTGTACAGATTAGTAGTGATAGTGGTAAGAGTGTAATAATAATATTACATTTTATGAGAACAAAAATATTTTTTTTCTTATGTGTTAAGTAAATATATTTTAAACTTTTAATTATGATCAAAACTTTAATAAACGCATTTTGCCTTTAGTTTTCTTAGGTTGCTAAATTGTAAATTTTTGTTCTATTTAATTTTAGTTCTTGACCATCTTTTAAAAAGGAGGAATAGGTTCTATTACTACGTCTTTCATATCTATTTTTGTTCGATGTTGAGAATGTCAATCCATAATCAATTAATCAATCAATTTATGATAAATAATAATGTCCAAAAAGATCATTGTTTCTCCTTGGTCTATCTGATTTGTTGTTATTTGAATTGATCCATATTTCTTATAATTTAATGTTTAATTTTTACGAACATTTTTATGTTTCTGTAGGTTGTATATGTGTCTCAGTAATTGCTATATCATTTTGTGTTATTTTACTTTTTAGTGTCGGCTTCCGTCTACTTTCTCTAGTTTTCAGTTTTTTTGTCTATGTTACCGAAGTCAAAATATCGATGTTTATTAAACATGTATATCTCATCCCTAATGGTAGTTTCATCAACGTCAAGGTTAATAGTGTCAAACAGAATCTAGTTTCTCAACTTATTGTCTCACTTTGTCAGTGAAGTTCTAAGTAGTTGAATGTTTTTTTTATTTTTACTTCGCAAAAAGTATATACATATTTTCTACTGATTAATTCGTACGCATTTGTTCGTGTTTTTTAAATAGAACTGATAGTTCTTCTAGTCTATGTACTTACGTGTTACTCTTTATTATTTTTATTTTGTATCTGATACGTGATTATATTTAAATTACGAGTAGTTAAAATTGTATAAACTTAGGCTAGTTGTCCTTCAAAACTTGACTTTTAAAGTTTTAGTGCACGTTAGGTATAATCATGGAAAATAAAACCGATTTTGAATATCCTCATACATTTATACTAGTGGGAGCATCTGGTGATCTTGCTAAGAAAAAAATATATCCTACTATATGGTATTTGTATCGTGATAATCTTCTTCCAGAAAATACAAAATTTATTGGTTATGCACGTACTAACCTGTCAATTTCGGATGTTCAAGAAAAATGCAAGAAATATATAAAAGTGCGTCCTGGAGAAGAGGAAAAGTTTAAAAAATTCTGGGACGCAAACGATTATTTGGCTGGATCATATAATAAACGAGTAGATTATGAGTTCCTTAATCAAACAATTGCCAAGTATGAAAAAGGAATTGTTGCTAACAGAATTTTTTATTTAGCTGTACCTCCAACTGTGTTTGAAGATGTGACTGTAAATATAAAAAATGCTTGTGTATCAATCAAAGGATTTACCCGAGTTATTATAGAAAAACCTTTTGGCCGCGATGCTATAAGTTCTGATAAACTGAGTAATCACCTAGCTGGCTTGTTTAAAGAAGAACAGATTTACAGAATTGATCATTACTTAGGTAAAGAAATGGTCCAGAATCTGATGACCATCAGATTTGCCAATCAAATTTTCAGTCCTTCATGGAATAGAGAAAATATTGCCTCAGTGCTAATTTCCTTCAAAGAACCATTTGGCACTGAAGGTCGAGGAGGTTACTTTGATGATTTTGGTATAATTCGAGATGTTATGCAGAACCATCTCCTACAAATTTTATCTCTTGTTGCTATGGAAAAACCTGTGTCTTTGAACCCAAATGATATTCGAGATGAAAAAGTTAAAGTACTGAGGCATATTAATCCGATTAAACTTGATGATATACTTGTAGGACAATATGTTGGGAACCCTGAGGGTCAAGGTGAGGAGCAACTCGGATATCTAGATGATCCAACAGTCCCAAAAGACTCTGTTACTCCCACATATGCATTAGCTGCTTTACATATAAACAATGCCAGGTGGCAAGGAGTGCCTTTTATACTGCGTTGTGGTAAGGCACTCAATGAAAGAAAAGCAGAAGTGAGAGTACAATACAAAGATGTCCCTGGTGACATATTTGATGGTAATGCTAAGAGAAATGAGTTGGTTATAAGAGTTCAGCCAGGAGAGGCACTTTACTTGAAGTTCATGAGTAAATCGCCTGGTATGAAATTTGACCTTGTGGAAACTGAATTAGATCTAACATACAGTATGCGATATAAAGAAACCGATGTTCCTGATGCCTATGAGAGACTTATACTAGATGTGTTTACTGGAACACAGATGCATTTTGTACGTAATGATGAGTTAAAAGAAGCTTGGCGTATTTTTACACCAGTTCTACAGCTGCTGGAGGAACAACGTCTTAAACCTCTTTCATATGTATTTGGTTCAAGGGGACCGCTACAAGCTGATACAAAATTACTGGAATATGACTTTAAATATTCTGGTTCATATAAGTGGAAAAAACCACTCCCTTAACATGTATAGTTTGTTGTGATATTAATATAGGTGACAGTATATTTTGTTAAGGCTTTTAAATAACTGGTATTATCTATTAAATATTTTTTAAAATTTTATATGTACAAAAAACATTCCTAATATTTTTATTTATAAATAGGGACCACTAAATGTGGGAGCATATTTATAGCTCCATATTTACTTGTAATAACAAATTTCAGTATTCATGATTAAGTTTATTTATATTAATTGGTATTGTTAAGGTCATTTTAAGGTCAGTTAAAGTCTCATATGCCCTTGTAATGTTTATATGTAAGTATTATGCTTGCACATAAGTTTCATTGTGACTAGAGAGTAATAATATAAGGGGAAATTAGTGCCTTAATAATTAACTTGTATTAAAAAATAATATCATAATATAATTATGATTATTAAGCAATATTAGTGACAAAAAAAACAGGTAGTTCAGTATTGTTCTTGTAAGAAAGGTCAACTTAGCTCACCTTGTAAATAATCTGTATAATGTGATTGTAACTTGATTTGAACTCAATAGATATGTACTTAATTTAGATAATATGACTAAGATAATAAACAATTGATTTGTTACAATTATTTTGTATGAATAATATATTTTTTTAAACTAGCAGTGAGATTTGTTATAAGTACCTGTGTATTGACTAATAATATTAAGACAAAAGTATTATGTTGAGGTCTGACTTGAATATTAAATTTCCAACCTTTAATCACTTACCTGGCAAATTAGCATAAAATTTTTAGTATTTATTTTTAAATGATTTTGTGAAGTTTTATATAAGTTGTTAAATATGAACACAGACACTATTATGTAGTAACATTATATTCATGATATCATCATTAGCAATAAAATGAACTCATTACTAATGGGGACTCTCTAAAACTATTTTCAATTTTGGGTTTTTATGACTATTAATTTTTATATTGCGAAACAAACATTACTTCACTGTAATTTTTTTTATATAATATAAGCAAAATCTGATTTCTGCATTTTTTTCTGGATTTCCTACATTTTACTTCTTACATATAGTATATTTTTTTATCTATCCTTATTGTGTTGGCTACTGCTGCTGGCCTTTACAGCTCCATCGAACTATGGTGGTAAGTGCAGATGGCATATCAGACTCGCGGAATGACTTATGGATCCGCTAAAGGTCGGCTCCTGCCTGACGGATACGACTTTGGTCTGAGGGCACCGCTACAGGTTCGAATTCAGATCGTCGTAATTTCTATGTACACCCCTCGGTCTAAATTTTTATTACACCCGAATAATTAAAATTAATTTGTGTGAATAAAGCCTAGCAAGTATTGCTAGGCTTTATTCACACAAATTAATTTCATATTTTCATATAATTGACTTTACATGGTTTTGTGAACGCTTACCAGAAATATACTACCAATAGATATAATTAAAATGTACAGATAGGTATTTCTTTAGGACGAAGTTTTCAAGTCATTGGTTATCATTGTAATAATTATTATTGCTAATCTTGTATTATAAATTACTAGGGACTAGGTCGTATAGGATCTTATTATGTGACGATGTTGTAATCATTGCCTATTATAACTATTTTATGCAATTGAAGTCTACTATTATATATGAACTATTACATTGCAGTTATTATATAGAGTTGTGCCCTTTGCAACTTATTTGACATTCTGTATATATCCAATAACTAACTATGATGTATACTTAAAGTTCAATCTATACTAAATCATATTTGCTGTTACATACGGGAGTAGAGCAAGGGCTTAAGTATGCTATGACAAATAGAGAGTGGCAGGCTATTTTACAGTTCGTAATTAAAACTTCGAAATGGTCTCTACTAAATTGTAAACGTGTATATTTTACATCAAATGAGAATTGTTACTAACATAGATAGTTACATAATTAAACTCTAGTAACGTTTACATCATAAGATACTGATGCCCTCTATCAACCAATTTTGTTTTTTACACTAGTTGATATTAAACACCTGGCACCTAGGCACATTCATTGTTTTTAATTTAAACATAGGTATAATATATCTACTGATACACATTTTATGTGCGTATATAACTCTAAGGCTTAAAATACATTTTTATCAGTAAGCTAACTTTCCAAAAACGGTGTACACTACGTTCACATTATCGTAACGTGTTAAATGATTGGTCGTAGGAAATTTTGTGTCGCTAGTTTAAATCCTAATAATTGAATATAAAGTAAAAATTAAATACACTTCTTCTATTACAGTTTATCAAAAGTATCAATATACCATACAAACTCAAAATGAATTATTTTAGATTTAATGCGTCTGCACACAACCAGAAATAAATAATTAAAATCATAATACAACGAAACATTTGTTTCTGTAAGCAGGACATTTAGCTCACGGGTACATAATATAACAATAATACCCAAGAAAAGCTTAGGAGTACATAAACTAAATAGATATTCTTTTAGTTTAATCGAATAATATTTATAAGGAGACTTCTTTGATTTATTTATTTTTATAAACTGTAATATATCATAAAGTTTTAATGTTCCATTCATCAGATTATTGTAAAGAGTGACATTATATTACATACATGTAATTTCTAGATACGTGGCAACACTGAACTGTCAGCTCAGCTGCCAGGTTCTGCGTTACGGTCGGTGGGGTGGGGAGAGCTCAATTCAATTTATTTATCTATATCGAGCAATGGTGGCACTGTTATGTTATGACCTATACTGCTTCATTGAATCGAAATAATTGCGTTACAATTTTTTTCTCCCGTGTGATTGATGCTGCTGAATGGAATTTATCCATTGCCATCCAGGAGCCCAACGATTTATCAAATGGGTTGTATAAATAGTGTAATAGTGTGATCTTCGGAATCTGTTGTTCGTAAGTGCTTGAATCTTTGTTGTCTAGATGCATTCAAACGCAAAAAATAACACGTTCCACTTTGATGGTCTATTTGGTATTATTGTCTGTTTATGCTGTACTTTGATTTGATTAGAATATGTATAATTTTTAGTTTGTAGTTACCAGAGAGAATAGCTTATGTTTTATAAATTAATGTTGCGAAGCTACATTAGCTGTTATTGTTTATTTTGGGCACACAGCAGTGTATTGAGTTTTGCTGTGCGCGCGTAATTTCAAGTCTATTCAAATAATAAAATTTCGGAAATGGCTAAAATATTTTGATTTGAGTAATATTTTAAAGTACTTTTTTTTTCAATAATTTTTTTTGTTTTGTTTTGATTAATTGCGTACCTACCATACGCATATATCCTAAGCTTGTTATGAAAACATCATTTTAAGCATTACAACTTTATTGAAAATAAAATACTTATTGTATTTATACAGGTGTGCTCTCACAAAGTATTTTTTTAATTGTATGATGTTAACAAAGTATATTCTGTCTATATATTTCCATAATGTCACTTATGTTACTTACTTCCTTTTCAAGTCTTACCTGGAAAATGTGATTGGAAGAAAGTATTAAGCTTTTCCTCAGGTATTTTTTATATATTTTGGATAGGTATATCATTACTTAAAACATCTATCTTGTCATCACTTAAACATAGAAAAAGCACATTTGTGATTGTTTAATAATAAATGAAAAATTCCTTAAATAATATTTTTCCTTAATTATAATTTTCTTTAAATATTAACAGCCACAGCAGACTGATTTTTAGGAATTAAGAGCAAAAAAAAAATACATACTATCTAACTCTTAAACAATTAACAGAAGGGTAAAGAGCCAGATTGTATTTTTTTTATGGATAATAAGAGAATAGTGCAGACATCTGTTATGCATCCTCCTCCTCCCTCCACTGTGCAGTTTTCTAGAAACTTTGCCATGCACAACCATATTGTGGAATCATTTTCCAGCAATGGTATTTCTGCACTGATATGACATGAGACCTTCAAGAAAAGAATTTAATCCTTCTTAAAAGGCAGGCCATGCATTTACAATTCTCAGTGTATTTTGGGTCCTCAAGTGTGGAGGTAATCACTTACCATCAGGTGATGGCCGCAAACTAGTTAGGCTCCTATTTGTCTTTGTCCCTAAAAACATGGTGATGGGCACTGGTGGAGGATGATATGCTAAGTAAGAGGTGGAGTCAGTTAGCCTATTGTTACAATTTCTTCAGGTATTAACCACATTGATTACAATAGGCACTAAGTAAAGACAAGCTGTCATAGCACATTTATAGCAAAAGCATCAATAACATCACATCAACAATAGTTGCTATTATTAACAATCCCATTCTCCCCCCAATTTTTTATTTACAATGTTTTAAATAACATAGGTGTAAAATAGTTCACAGTTTGTAAAGAATATTCTTTGTCCACAGCCGTTTGGATATTGGTGACAAATGTAACCAGTAATACAAATTTTTGCCTGAAAGTTGTTATATATAAAACTACAATGTTGTATGTATTCCATGTAGACGCTGGTCAAATGACCACCTATGACATGAGCCTGACATTGGAGACGTAAGTATCACCATCAAAAATTTAAATACTTCTATCCCTCTAATGGAGTGGTGGATCACATGCACTCGCTGTAATTGCATGTAGGACAGGATGAAGATCTTGTTTCATAGGTCATTACAAAGAATTTGTTTGTATGAAGTAGCCTTTTGTAATTCATTTGTTAAAGCTAGTCCTTTAGCAATTTAACATGCTTAATGCTTGTTTGCCATCTATATAGTATAAAAAAAACTATTCAAATTAATCCTAATGGATCTTTTTCATTATAAAATTATATTGTTTGATGACCAACAATGTATATTGTAGCTAAATATTCCAGAACTATTATATAATTTCTAATTTCAGTGTGGGAACTTTAAAAATGGCCATAGAGAGAAAAACTAAGATATTATCAAACTCTTTGGTGCTCTTGGTGAGTGGTGGTGAGGTACTGCAATCCGAACATATGGTATCATCATACAGCGCTGGAACAGATACAAATCCTATATACATGTTCAGCAAGCCCTCTGTAAGAGATAGTCTTACAAAACAATCTAGTGAGTTATATTTTTATATCTTTATGCATAAGAATGTCAGACTGTTACCTCTTTTTCCTTGAATCTATATTATATAGTTCATATTGAAGTAGGTTTTTGAATGAATATTATATTTAACACTTTATTTTATTTTATATGATAGTGTGCGATTTGAGCCCAATAGCGGAATTAGGAGCCGGTGAGTCTAGAAGTGACAGTCGTGGTTTTGATGGAAAATCTGTGGAGGACCTGAAGGCAAGTGTAGAGTCCTGCCACTCTATGAAATTAAATGATATAAACACTGTGATTTCATGCGCAAGTCTGGCTCAGAAGTTTAGTGACCTTGCACATGAGGTATCCAGGAGCTGCCAGCATCTGGTTCATGAGCAGCATTTACAGCATCAGGTAAGCATTTGATGATATAAGTGAGATGGTTATATTGTGAAAATATTTCAAACTCCCATAAATGTAGTTCTAGACTAAAGTATTTACTGATAAATGTACATATGTACATATATACATTTTTTATAGACATATAATTTACGTAGATTAACATTGAGATCAATACATACCAACTCATGTATACAAATATTTGTATTGTGTGGGCATTGTACCCGCTGGTATGTCTAATTTTGCAACAATGTACTAAAAACTGCACACTGACCATCAAATATAATGAAAGTAGATAAGTAAACAATTTATATATGTATATATAATCATTCACATAGTCATTTTATATATATTCTTAGGAGTATAATAATATGATAAATATTTAAACTTATTGGTAGACAGACAAACTGGAACACATGTTTTGTGGTATTATAATCTAGTAATTAACTTATGATAATTCTATATTTTCTATTTAGGGATGGGCAGCAGTTGTGGCCAATTTGGAGGACATATACAATGAGTTTTGTGAACGATCGAGGAATTTCAAAGAGTCTTTTAAGAAACATCGTCAGAAAAAGGAGGAGTATCAAGAGCAGCTGAACACGTGAGTTTATTATATTGATTGCAGTTTTTAATTTAAACGACTGGTTGTCGGGGCATTGTTGTGAGGGTTTTTCCTGTAATATGTGGGAACGGCAATTTTAAATACTAGCTATATATAGAAATTCCTCTATTTTTTTTCCATGGGATGTTTTCTTTCTATTCTAATTTTTAATTGATTACTCTTTATTGAAAACACAGTAAAGATTCAATTATCGGGCCCTTAGTTGTACGGATTTATGATTATCCATATAGCCAATAGCAATAAAAAAAATAGATATGGAAACGTGTAATTAGTTTTTTGTTGGTTGGAATAAATAAGGCGGGCGAGGTGGGTTATCTTTCTAGACCTATTTATTTATAAAATAAAAGTATTTTTTGTACATATGAACAAAAAAGTAAGTATTTACCTCGTATACTCAATTCTAAAAATGTTAATACATTTTTCTGTGTATCGGTTTGGAGTTAAGATAATAAGATTGTTAGTTTGGTCTGCAAAATGACGAGCGTAGGTACTACCATATACAGTTAAATAAAGTTATCTACCATAAAGCCGATTAAATCCCAATTATCAATTTCGGACCTCGGGCTGCGTATATATGTTTACGTACACAGGTCAGTAGGTTTAGTGTTTGGTCACGAGGTGAGGCACAGTAACCTCATGCTGTTTTGAATTGGGTAATCTAATTTTAAGCCAAACAAAGGACATCAATATCCTATATGTTCACTTTGTGCGATTCGCTGTTTATGTACACAGTATTTATTACTATGGACTATACAAATTTGACTATTTATACGATTATACGATTATGATATGTTGCCTTAAAAACAATATATTCCATGCATTGTTTTATGTTCTAAATTAATTTTAACTTGAGCACGGTAAGATGGAACTGACTTGCTACATACGGAAGTAGTATGTTACTTTCGTATGTAGTATTAGTTATTTCTCTGTTATATTTTTTAAAATTACATTAAGATAATTATATATGCGTATAATTTTCAACCACCATGATCACGGGTAAACACTACCGAAATATCGGGAACTCAGCAAATAAATATAAAACGTGGTAAGATCCCGTGATTTTTACTAATTATATGCATAAATAATGACCGCGTCAAGTTTAAAACAGTATATAAGATAATTATAGATAAGTAAAGGTTTTTTCCCTCATAGTGCTTAAATTTTATATTTATTATTATGTTTTATAGAATATCGGTTCAGTCGTTTGATTGTTGTCAAGATTTTATTTCTTTGTTGTTATTATCTACAAAACTACTATAGTGACGAATACGTAAATTGTGATTCATTTTAAAAATCTGATAAATCTTTCTATACAGTCACGCTAGTCGCTAGATTCATCTATCATTGTATTTTTACTTAAACGTCATGTTTTATTAGTGTTTAAAGGTTTTAGCGCTCTCTTTATGCGTTAGTAGGAATGTTCCGATACTTACAAGATATTGATACCTAATTATTTAAGTATCTAGTAGAGATTGTAATCACTTTTCGATACAACTCTCATGAGTACCTTCAAAATATTGATTAACATATCGATAACTTTGAGATTATTTTATGGGACTGTTATTGTATCATATATTTTCTGTCAATTTACATTTCAAATGAACTTTTTTATTTCTTAGATATTCAAGTATCGAAACCTATCGCATTTCTTTCAATTCGATATCAAAGGTACATGGTATTGAAACGACACTATCGAGTGATTACGCATATTTTCTTGTATCAGACATCTCTAGTAGCAGTAGTAGTCAAATACATATTGTTTTACTGTAAATATATAAGATAGGAGATGTATTTTTTGTTGTTGAACGCTAGTTACTTTCGCGTAGATATTGAGCGCTATATTCATTCATTATTCATGGATGCCATAGGAGTTTAATAAATAAATATCATAATTATGTTGCGTCTTAATGTATACAATAAAAAGCTATTTACAATTAATTATTGCTAGTTATTCAACATAATGAGTAATTTAATGCTTTTTATATCTATGATAGAGATTATAGGTAGTTAATTTAAAAACCGGAATATATAACTACTAAGTGCTACTAAATTATATGCATTCCCTTAAGCAGGGATGTTATTCAATGTATATATTGTTATAATGATAGAATTTCATTATATTAGGGTCATTAATTTTTACATGCAGATCTTCAATAAATGCAAATATTCCATTTTCGTGTAAATTGTAAACGGCAGTTTTCGGTTACAGTATTCTTTGGTAGATACTGTAAGTGCTCAAGGAACTGCTTTGGTACCTAAATGAATACCTATGCAGTAAAGAACTTTTGATATATAATGTTTTAATATTCCTGAGGGATGAAATTCCTTTACCGTAATAATGTAAATCGTAATATATTTGGTAAATTATTATTTGGAAGTATCTCCGATATATAATCTCTGCCTGCAGTTTCATTGTGCAAACTAATGACTCCTAGATAGCACGACCAGTTTGTTATCATAATAACATTATCAAAGTCGTTATGTCAATTGACAAAGTAAGTTCTTAGTGTGAGGAGACTATAAATCTATACATCTATACATATAAATAAAATTTGAGTGTCTGTTTGTAATATTGAAATAAGCGTTTTGTACTACATGCAATATGAATATAAATACGGTAAATACACCAAAATATTTTTTTTTGTCTGTTTGTCTGTCTGTTAGCCGGAACAAACAGATAGACAGTATCTGTTTGTTCCGGCTAATCTCTAAAATGGCTGAGCCGATTCTGACGGGACTTTTTTTGGCAGGTAGGTGATGTAATAAGGAATAACTTAGGCTACTTTTATTTCAGAAAAATTCTATTATTTTAGAAAATAAGGTAAATTCCACGCGGACGAAGTCGTGGGAATAGCTAGTATTATATTTATTTATTTATCAATTTAGGACTGAATATTATATACATACTATATTCATATTCATGCACCACGTGGACAGACATTGGCTATCTTTTCTTTCCAAAAAAGCAGACAGCTTGTACTCAGAATTGAACTCAAAGGACAATGAACTTTTGATATGTTTATTGTTTTTTTTCTATTGTACATTAGTTCACGAGATACTTGCCTGTAAAAATGTACATTAACATGTTTTTTTATTGTGGTAGATTGTTGACGTGGTTTTGACAAATAGTAATTCCATATTTAAGACAAATGTAGAGGTAACAATTTGAATTGTTGAAATTCGCAGCTTTACAAGTTATACAGTTAGACAAATAAAACTATTCAGAACAACGGAAGGTGTGCTTGTAGGGTGGTAAGGTAGGGACTGGTTGCTTACGTTTTGTTTGCCAAACCTATTTGATCCTAATTCAAGGCAAGAGGCAAAAGTCATACCGTAGCTCTGCAAAGATATCATGTAACATATTATTATAATAGACTATATTATATATCTAATATGAATAATAGACTATACTCCTTTTGAGAATCTGTGAAAAATGTTATATTAATCATCAACGTGCGTTCCTTGTATCTAATTGGTATATGATTGTAGCCGCCATTAGGATTTAATTGCCCTTTGAATAATACAAAATTATTAGAAAAGTATAATTGCTAATGATGCTTTTCTAATTATATATTACGTAATGGGACAAGTAATGGATCTGGAATTTAGATATTGAGCGTTGTTGGCCAATGGTTTAGGTACTACCCTGAATTATACCAATGTAGACGTAAGTTGGGATCCGTCCGGTACAAAATAAACTTTGTATGCCAATTTACATTTTTGACTAATTCTCTGGTGAAGGAAACACCAATATCAAACCAATTGTAAATACAGAGACTGCGGTACGGTCATCCTCTGCTGCATTGGATTCAAATATAACGAGCGAAATGGTGGAATGTGAAATGTTACGTTTACCATATCATCGACAGTTGACTGGCTCTGATTATCTGAAATAACAACCATGACGGTACTTTACGTGAATTCAGACAGTAATCAATATCGACACATTTATATCTCATTGTCACGATATATACGTAGCATTTAATCAATCCGGTCAATTACGATCACGGGGATGAAGTCGCGAGCAGGAAATAGTGTTACTGAAGATTTTTATTACGTTGAAGATAATATTGATAGTAAAATAGTTTATCTTAAGAGAATACTAGGACGAGGTATGTTACTGAATTTACTACGTTTTTTACTTCGACTGAGGAAATTTAATTACAGTGGAATGTTTTATCATTTTAAATATGTACTATCAACTATACTACTATGCCCTTTTTTGATCAAGTTATTTATTTATTCAATACAGATGAATTTATTACCCGACCTATTGATTAATGCTTCTCGTTTCTAATTAACAAGATATAAATGACAAGTTGTTTGATCGTAGCTGTGTTATAATGTATGTCCTCGATTTCATGGATAGTAGGTATACCATGTATTTTTTATTTATAAGATAGTCGCAAGCTCGTGTATCCCCACACGAGCTTGCGACTCGCCTGATTTGATTGTGATTTATGATTACCGCTGCCCCATTCACAACACACATGTGTTCATTTTAAGAACATATAAGAAATATGTATTAAACTAGTGGTGCCCGCGACTTCATCCACTAGTATATTAGTAACTAGTCTATTGACGATTATCAAAGTAGGTAATACAAAATGTAAAAGTAAGTAAAATTTATATATTACCCCGGGACGAACCCAAATCAACTCCGGGACAACTACTTAATAAATAGGTTGTAACTATAACTCTAATACATAAAAAAACTAAACAAAATTTATACTTAATCTGTCTTAATATGTAGTAATATTTAAGTAGTGTTATTTAATTAATTTTTCTTTTGTTGCTCTGGAAGTACAACAGTATGCCACCCATCCCCGTTCTAAGTAACTTTATTATGTAGGCTATATAGACAAAGAGACAGTTTTCACTCATTCTACAATTTTATTATGTGTTACATGGACCGCCTCATCAGGCGGGCCGGTGCTCGATTGTGGCGCTCATTGCAAAAAAATATTTTTAGACTTAGCGAAGTGTTGGAGTCCCTTGGCAAGATTCCAATTCTATCCGCCCTCCAAGTGAATGCGGAGGCTCATCGTTTCTCGGGTTTTGACGTTTTTGAAGAGACTTTCGAAGGCCAGCTGTACAGGGTCAGTCAACCGCTAGACAACAGCTCAGAGAGATGCCAAGATTTTGGAGTGGAAGCTTTCAAATTATCTGAAGAGGATGGTAAGTGGATTAAAAAGTTTAAACACCACAATGATTTTAGATAAGAACATTTTAGTGCTCTATTGTCTTCTAGTCATGTGTGGGTGATGGTTTATTGTGTAGGGAGAAAAATACTAAGCAGATCCCGAAACCAAAAATATATTATTTTCTGTATTTCTGCACTAACTGATAGTATTCATCGGTTGGGCCATCAATTAAATGAATATATAACGTAAGAACATTTATATTGATATTTGTATAAATAGTTATGATTATTTGTATTGGTCTGGGTATTTTCTATATATACCTATTTTAAAAATAATAAGTCATTATATATTGATTGAGACTAAAATATGCTGTGTGAATTCTTGCTTGACTATTATTGTGACTCTTATATTTCATTTTAGTTTTTGATCAAAAAGATGCATCGACAAGTAAAGATGGAGCCATTGTACAGTCAGAACCTGCTCCGCAAATCGAAGAATCAGATGAAGGAGATCGTTTCGACGTATACTCCTACGAAAGTAAAGAGGAGCCGTCGCTTTTACATTGGATACTGGCGCAGGGCAACAAGGCATCGTTGCAAGATATATTGGACTATTGCGAGAAAGGACTCGCTTTGGTATGTTCTGCCTCCTAATTTATCTAATCTATATTAATAGTGTAAGCAAAGAAAGAGATGGAGAGAGCACGGATTTTTATGAGAAAGGTAAATTTCTGCGATCGGTGCGGTTTCAGAAATTCTGTCACTGTATGAATGTACACTGTAGAGTAACGTACAAAACTTAATGTTATAACTACCTGGGTGAAGGACTCAGGACACTAGTTTTATATATAGACTTAACTTCAAGTGTAACTATGTTTAGAGCTTATTTCTACACTATGGTACATATCTCACTATCCCAGCAAACAATCAAGTGACAAAAAACAGCAGCTCTCATTTGTGGCACTCTATTGAAATGAGAGCTCAAATCTACTAATACTTCAAATTAGTCTATTGAATGAATTGAATTGGTTTTACGTTTTTATGTAGTGATTTTAGGCTGTGAATATTTAATGTAAACTTTGTTATAATTCTAGATCGATGTGGAACCTCTTAAAGAACAAGAAGAGGAACTATGCCGAATTTTGGCAATGGCAAACATGTATGGACTAAAGCAAATTAAGGGCATAGAGGACCGGCTGTATGGACTCGATCAGTTACTCAATGAGGTTAAGAAATTAGAGCGAGACCAGCATGATCAGGCCGCATCACTAACTCAGGTAAAATGTTATGGCTCAGATTTCTGAGAATTCCTAGTAATTTGAAAATTGGTAATAATTTTTTTATAACGTAAAATGGTAAGCAATATGGAGAATATTTATTTTTTCTTGTATTATTAATGTTCGTGCAATACATAATATTACATAGTACATAATATTTTTTTAATTACGGAAATAATTATTGACATTACTTGTAATATTTTAATCTAATGATATGAAAGTAAAATTTCATACGTACGTATTAACCTTTTCGAGTTATATTTTAATAGAGCAAGTTATGAAAAAATATGTGTATACAAATTTAGATAAAGTTCCTAAATAGGTCTTTTATGTGAATGGGCATTGGAATTTACAATACAAAATTATGTATGGATGAATTAAAAAAAAATTGAGTCATAGTTATTGATAGTAATCAATCAGTATGTCTCAATTTTTTTTTGTGCCTATGCCTTGCCTTTTATTTGATGCCTATTACTCTATAAAAATAATTATTTGGGAGACGACCTTCTTTGACTAGGCATTTTTTATTTTAAACATGTTAGACAAGTACACTACTTATGTATGTGTGGATGTGTATGTAGAATGTTTGAGTATATATAGTGTAAAGCAAAAGTTAGAATATTTGCTTCTTTTCATTTCTTTTTCTTAATAAGTCAGGAATTCCATATAATACACAGTAATAAGCACGAATACCACGTTTTTGTAATAGGAATATATTTTTAATGTAATATGTATACAATTATATTCTTCCCTATAATATTCTTATGTAATGTAATGTTGAATGTTGTTCACAGCACCGTGAACGTTTGAACTCGACGTGCGATCAGTCTGTATTGCCCACGCTAGTGCAGTCGCACTGGTGTCAGCTCGAGAAGTTGCTCAAAGGACACCAAATGTTAGTCGACATTAGACGTCGGATTACCAAATCTAAGGATGAGTTGTCGCATACACTAAAAGCAAGATTAGGGTGAGTGTTAACCAGATAATGATCTATTATTAGTTTTATTACTATAAATATATTGTACAACTTAGTTCAAAAAGAGAGGCCTTCTCAATTCCACTGTATTCATTGTTGTTCATATATACAGATAATTTATCATCACTTTGAGCTTTTGATGATTCTTAAGAAAATCTTGCGTTAGTCTGTCATTAAGTTATTTCAAAAGTAGGACGTTTATGATACTAAGTCTCAAGTATTCATAGGGAAATCTTATAGCATCTGCATATTTGTTAATTTTCAAAACGATTAAACATGCAATGATTGGTATAATTTGAATGTTCATAGATTTTTTTGAAATCTCTAATATCAAAATATCAGTGGTTCGAAATTGACTTTTATTCAAAAGTTGACAGGTACTAGACTTCGATTTTAATTATACATACATCGTGTAAATTCCCTTACGCTAAATATGGTATGATATGTTAACATAATATTTCAGAACGGTCCTGCGCATCGAGAATTCTATGTCAGTGCAGGATGCGCACGCCATGCTGTCGTTCCAGTGCTTCAACCGGCTCGCGAGATACTTCAGTATTGTCGCACAGCTACATCGCGCTCCTTCTGTGTTTGTACGCGCCGCCCACGAGGTTGCACGACGTCGAGCTTTCTCCACTGCATTTTTACAGGTATGTCCTGCTTCTTCCTATATCTACCATATTCTTGTAGGTATACTTGTCTACTCTATCTTTTCCGCGCAGTCATATTTGCATGCAGAGCCAAGGATATATGAAATACAAGCGACAATCATTGATTTTTGTCAAAATATTCGTTATAGTTGAATACCTATGAGTAAGCAGTAATAAATAGAAGAAATATCAAAATTAGAATATATTATTTATTTGTAAACACAAAGAAGTGTATGTTAAATTATTTCATCTTCATATGTCGTACATGCTGTATGTAGGCGACGCTTGTTACTCATTCGGAGCATTGATATAATAATTTAATCATTGATAGTGGGCAACGGATCTGGCGGCGATGTTGCAAAAAATCCACAACGAAGAAGTCTGCCGACGGCAGGAGTTCAACAGCGTGTTCGAAGGCCACTTCCTGAACAATTTATTCCCGGGTATGACGGACTTGCCGCCCCCGTTCGCAACACAGGCTCCGACAGCTTTTGATGCGCGCCTACCGCAGCTAACGGCTGAAGATGTGAAGATCCTCGCTACAACTCTCCCACACTTGACTGCCAACGTGCCCACTTATGATATGGAAACTACTCTTAAATTCTTTCAACAGAGGTCAGTTCTTAATATTTATATTTACCAATGCTAAATAATCTGTAGTCTTTGAAGTACTGAATTTTAATATCTATTTTGGTATATATATGTATGTACCATTACTACATACCATTATTGTACCACAGTGAACACATTTTACTGTATATTTTGAATCAAACGTGGCTGGAGTGGAATCTACCGCCTTCTTTCCGTATTAGTCTATTTTACTTACAATTAAAATCTACTAATAAACTTTCTAATAAATGGATATACTATTTAAATATAAATTCATTACTAACAAATATTTATTTTCGGTATGTCATTCTTATTTTAATTAACTAATATAAATAAATATTTTAGGGTCCATGTGTTTGATCAAGAGGATAAAGAGGAAGTTAATGTTGAATTATGTCTCGAAGGGTAAGTATTATTATGCATTTATTATAGCGGAACATTGAATCCTTCTTTGGTTTTCTAAACTTTGTTTTGTTTCTAGGACTATTGAATTGGAGACCGAAACAGGAGATTTCGAGAAGCTAACCAACCAAATAGCACCGAAGGAGACAATGAACACGTCAACCACATGTGCCCCCGAGATGACAGCAGTGTCGACGGTGACAGAGGTGCGATCACTACCGGTTATCTTGGAAACAGCCGAAAGCCCCCCAAAACGCAGTGATGAGTTTGAAAACTCTGATTTTTACATCGAAGAGTCGCTACCGTCGAGCTTGGAATGGGGCCGGGACGAACGACAGGTGTACTTCTAACCCCTGTATCGATCGTAATCATTGTCCATCGTGTTAGACCTCCCCACCACATCATCTTTATTCCCCTATTATCAGCGGTGATCAAGCGGAGAATTCATTGCACAATTTTGTATATAATGCCTAACATATAATAATCCTGAATAATTTACACAGCTCCAACTAGTCGCATGGTAATCAGAGCATATCCTATGGGTACTAGACAACTGATAGAGATATAAAAAATAAATATAACTTAAATATATTTATTTTGTAAATACATGCATAATTTACATGGAAAACTCCCACACTGATACAACCATACTTATGAATACAAATATTTGCATCTTGCGAGGAATCGAAGCCTAAACGCTAGACTACCGAGGCCGTCAAATAATAATACTGTTGTTATCACTGGAAATAGACTAGCTAATAGAATTATGCTTTATGTAATATACGTACAATTTATATACAAATATTTGAGCATTACAAAACGATCACTATTGCTCAGTTTCTGTTGTACTTATTTTCACTAATATATACAAAGCAGTCATTATACACTGGATAAACTATAGATAGATTATGAAACATGAAACTAATTTAATTTTACATTTAAATTAATTAATAAACAAAAATAATTTCTTTGCAACCAGAGAATATTTTATTGCGGCCTGTTGCTCACAATTTAATGGATAAATAATCTAATTGATAAACATTAGTTTTTCATAAAATTAAAATAAGGAAATAGGTGTAAGCAAAGTTTATCTATCGCTTTTGCTTCGGAATGAAATGAATTCTTTTGACATAAAAATCAATCCAAATTACTCGCTGATAAGCTTTTTTGGTGTCAGAAAAGATTTTTAGGTTATGCGATACAAACAAAAATATCGGTCAAAGTAATCAATTTCTCTAAGATGACAGTACAGAACAATAATTCTCCGCTAGATCACCGCTTACCCTAACTGATTGTCATTCACAACAATTTATATAGAGGTCTCACATGTATGGAAGTGTTCTAGATGTTTTTTGTTGCTCCTGTCTTCACCGGCCCCGTTAAATCGTAATTTATAGTTTTTTATGTTATTTCGCAAATTTCATATTTTTTTATCATCTTTCACTATTGTAGATATGCCAACAATGAAAGGAATATGTATTGAGATTTAGACTATTTCCTGATTTGTTGATACTATATAATTATACTCTGTATGTCTGGTGATCACTATTTAAGGGTTAAGTTCACAATTCATTTGAAACCCTGTGAACATAATAGGGAACGTTTACGTTTAAGAGCTTAGCTGTTATAGCTTGACCTCAGCTCATATACGAGCTCAAATGTGAGGAAAACGAAGTAAAGATTACATTATTTTAATAGAGTATAATAAATATTAATGTAATGTAAAATTTCGTATTTGCCGCTCTAGAAATATACAGTTCTTTTAAGCAACGTGATATGTGCTTATGATACTCATAGTGTCATCATACCCAGATGAAACAGTAGTCAGCGCTTCATGATGTTATGTGTTAATTATAGTTGTATTCATGTCTGTTGGCAACTGTAACATTATTTATTTGAGTAGGCTGTTCGCTGTTTTTATATAATTTTATCATAAATACTCTTTTTTTCTATGGCTGAAACTTTATTTTCGTCATGGTATTAAAAATGTTGAAATTTTGATCTTTCAGGACAATATGGATACTCATAAAATAAACATAGAAAAATTAAATGAACTACTCTTTAAACTATGTGGATTATTTAGACAAAATATATTATACATACGAGAAGAATTATATAATTTAAAAACGGAAATTGATGAGCAGAAGAAATTCTTTAGCAGCATAAATTTAGAATTACTAAATAATTGGAAGCGCAGTAATGAGGAAGCCGATCTTAGATTTAGGGAACAAACCCAGAGGTTGACTGTTGACCATGAGTTAGAGTTGAGTGACATGAAGGCAGCTTTGAAAGAAAAAGACGATATGATTGACTTACTGAAGAAAGAGAAGGAAAATATAAAATCTGAACATCAGGAAGAACTAGAGAAAGTGGATAGAGAACATCAGGTTACGAAAGAGGTTCTAGAAAAAACTCAACAAGAGATTAGTGAGTTTCAAATGAAACTTGAAGAAATTGAATTGAATAAGCAGAAAGAAATTAAAGATTTGCAGGAGAAGATGCACGCAGAATATAAAGCAGAGATTGAGTCCTTGCGTTCAAGGTAATTTTTTGTCAATTATATTCATATAAATTTTAGACTAGTAGCTCAGCGTTTAGCAATATATATTATTGTATTATTTTGTTAAAAAATCAGATTCCGTCTGGTCGCCTTGACTAACATGGATCGGTCGCCATCGGAGTCAAGTCTGGAGAAGATCGAGCGCACAGATATGATCGAGATCACAAGTCACAATGCGATAGTGATGCAGACCAAGGAGAATGCGGAGGTCGAGAAGGAGGAGGCCGTAAAAGAGGCAGTAGCCAAATGCGAAGTTGAATGGAGGCAGAAAATGGAATCTGAACTGGACGTAGTCAAATCCAAGTATGAAGTTGAGAAACAGGTTAGTACACCAATAATTTATAAATTATTATTAGACACTGTTTTAGCTTGGTAGATGTAGCAAAAGTACAAAATACTACACTTTTTAATTGCAAAGAGGATATCTCCTTCTGCTCTCCTTCTCTCTTTCGATTCTCTCGGATTTCTTTAAAACTTTGGATATAATGTTATGGCTATACGAAGTCGCGTGACTAATGCTTTCCGCGTGTAGGCTAATATCTACTAAAAAAGAGAGGACAGAAGTCCTAAAACAAGACAGATCCATTTTAATTAGCGTATAGTACACATTAAACGTATTTCTTAATTGTGTAATTGCAAATTTTATTGGATACACTGAAAGTATACAGTATATAGATAATAAATAATTATAGTTTTTTTTAAACATTAGCATGTTTCTCATTTTCGAAGATTATTAACTAGCTTAAAGTTAGATCGCGAACAGGTTCAAATATACTTAAAAAATATAATTCAAAACTTCCGTGAGTGTCGTTTCGTTACATTGCCTACAATACTTTCTTTATACAAAAGTTAAAAGAGCTTATTCCTTCTTAAAAGGCGGGTAACGCACTGGGCTGGGGTTTTGGGTGCTCATGGGCGGCGGTAATCACTTACCATCACGCGAACCGCAAGCTCGTGTGTTCCCTATGCTATATAAAAACTTGTACGTCAGGAAGTCAGTCAGTATGTAATATGTAGGTGACCATCAACGACGTTCGTGGCCGACTGTTGTCTGAGAAGGATCGCCAGCTGGAGGTATTACGCGAGCGTGAACAAGCGCTGGTACGCGAGTGCAATAAGTACAGAGATACTATACAGCAGCTCACCGACCCAGAGACCAACGACTATGATGCGCTGCTTAAAACACAGGTTAATATATCTAATAGTAAGCCAAGCTGCACCCCCGATGGTCTTGATAAATCTAATCCTACTAATATTAGAATTATTATGTGTGAATGTAGAAAAATGTTTGTTTTAGAACAACGATTGCTTAACTTTTTTAACAGACGAATCAAATGGAGATTGTTGTTTTTTTTATGTCCATCTATACATTTTCAGTTCACATCACTTGAAAATGAGAAGGCACTTCTTCAACAACAACTTGAGGAACTGAAGAAGGAATTAGATAAGAAAACTGAAGAGGGAGAGAAGAAAGAAACAAATAAAGAAGAAGATGTTTCCAGGTACAAATTATAATTACTTTTAAACATTCTAATTGCATGTGTTATAATCTTTACCATTGTACTACTACAAAAAGTTACCTGTTATGTATTGACTTATTAGGTATAATTTGATTAAATACAAAGTTTGTATATGTATATATAACAAGTAACAATGCCGTGGATTTCTTAATGAGGCGAGGTAATAAATAATGTAAAACAAATTAAATAAATGAAATTTTGATAACAGTAATTAATAGAAGTGTTATGATGGTTATAATACAAGGCGGAAATTTAGCCCGCGGGCCGATGGCGAGGACGTAATAAACCTGAGTATTCCCGTGACCTAAATATTCTCGTGATTCGTACGACGGTTTTCAACACACTTGGTTTTAAATATACTCAAGCAGAAGACTGTACTGTTGTCTCGCCGTTTTAGTCGGTTCAAAATTTAAATAGCAAATAATGGGCTTTGTGAATATAACTTAACTATTTACGTTTATAATGCACGCGTCTTTTTTGAGCTGCTTTATATATCGAAAACCGGTGAAATTAGATCCACTTTACGAGCAAGTGTGTCGAAAACAATATTAACAATCGTGTATTAGTCTAGGAGCATATGTATGCGTAAAGGCGTAGTGTAGTCAACGTTAGAGTGTGCGTACAGAGCCGGGCGCGGATGGCGCGGATGGCGCGGCCACACGCCGCTGGGGCTGGCGGGCGGCTCGCTGAGCCTGTCGTCGTGCCTGCCCGGACACACCGTGCTCGTACTGTGGGACCCCGCCCACCACAACTACACAGTCATGCAGGTACTGCACCACACCACACTACACCCACCCACCTCCTACTTGATATCTCGGATAGCGCGGCCTGATCTGCCTGATGGATACGACTTCACCTGTAGTCTGAGGGTACCACAGTTTTTTTTATTGGGTAGTTTGGGCTATTGTCATCTGACAATAGCCCAAACTACCCAATAAAAAAAAAAGTGCTACAGGGCCATGCATCTGCATGGCCCTGTAGCACTGCGACCCACATAGATCTATTGTGCTCGCCATTTACCACTGTTTTTAGAGGGTACCACCTAGGTTCGAACCTAGGCTCAGGCCGTCGGGAGTTAATATCTGTAATAGTTACATAATATATTAAGAATTTTTGGTTTTCTAAACTCTTAAAGATTTTTTTAAATTATTTTAGGAATCGTCGACTATGTACTTCGTGTACAGTGACTGCCTACCGTCCCTCGATCTCAGTATACAAGTGGATAACGAAAGCGAGAGACGTCTCTACGCCATAGCTACTGTTGAATCCAAAGAATATTGTTATGCGAAGAAGGTAAAATTAAGTTTAGCTTTATACTACTGATTAAGTAAAAGTATAATATGATCTAAGACTCAGCTATAAATACTCAAATGTTTACAAAGTCACGATGTTTGGCACGCTTTGAGAATTGATTTCGCAGTTAAAACATTTATTCTTTGCCATATTATATTTGTCTCTGAGCGCACGTCAAAGCGTACAAAGTTCATATGTTTACGTAGCATTTAGTGCGCAGTCAAATCTTGAGCAAGTACGATGCGCTATTATTTTTGCATGTTTTGAAGGTACATTGTTGTTTATAGGAATATGTGATGAAGTCTAGATTTATAAAGACATATATATATATAGATTTATACAATGTAAATAAATTAATTCTACATATTTACGTTTGTAATCTGAAATGAAATTACAAATTAACAGAAGATCAATAGAGGGAATCTATCACAATCTATATATATTATTTATATAAAAATGTAAACATATAATAATGGTACGTTTGATACAAATATACATAGTTAATTATATGTATTTGTATTTGCGCGCGTCAATCTTCAATTCAATTTAAAAGGTAGTGAAATCAAGTAATTTCACTCCCTTTTAAAAGCTTATTTTTTGTTAAACAGACTTTATTTTTCAAAGACACGTAAAATTTAATAGTTATCAATAATTCTATAACATTATAAGTAGCTCTGTAGTCAGACGTCCTCCATTTTGTAATGACAATTGTGCATATGTATTTTTTTACCTAGTAGCAGTGAGAGCCCGTATAGAGGCATCTATACAGTTCGTCCAGAATCGAGTAGCCACATAGTTGTCGAAATGAATAATAATACGATTTACGATCGCCTTCTCTCCTGCGGAAAGAGCGTGGTTGGAAAGGCAGCAATTGACGTGTCGATTGGTTGGTATCGACAGAGCAGTAACCGGTACAGCATGCCGCGCGGGTCGCGGTTCTACCGCGTCCGGGTGCGACCGCCGCGCCCGCACCTGCCGCCGCCGCCCTGCTGCCCCGCCGCCGCGCCCCCGCCGCCCCCCGCACACACCGCACCCCCCGCACACACAGCACACACCGCGCACACAGACGTCACACCCAAGCCAGGTATTTATACGTTATAGATGCAATTATCCCGTCTGCTCTAGTATATTTTGGCGGGTAATCAGTAAAGTATCGAAATTGTACTCGTGTCTCGACGAATTCGTTGAGAACCCACGAGGGCAGTGCAACCGTACTTCGATCCAGTTTTTCAATTCTCATCGTTTCAATATTGGCACTGTAAATTAGACATATTTTATAAAATTTTTCATTGTTCGAGTTTCATTTGTCTGTAGATTCATACTATGTTCACGAAATCACTAAAATGTTTGATATCATGTGGATCGTGTAAATATGTTCTTTTGTTGTCTTATTTCAACACTAATATTTCATCAAGTGTCGCTATTTCGTAAATATCTAAACTATTTATAGTATTATATTATTATTCTAGTCAATGAAAGATGTTTGTCAAAAATAATTTTTAACCTTCTTCACTAGTTTACTTGACGACCGGTATTATATTAAAAACTGTAATTTTATGAAATATTAGTTACATGATATTGCATATAGTTTTTACATAAATTTAGCATATCATCCCTGTGGACTATATCTAAACTATAGTAAAAAATAAATTAACAACCATTAATTATTAATGACAAATCAAGAGTTACTAAATTATTCAGATTCTTAAAGTATATTTGTAACTTCCTACTAAACGCAATAATATCTATTCGCAATACACACTTGTGAACCCTACTTAATAATTATTTAGAAAATCTTCATAATGTTCATAATAGTTTGATGTAATCTACCACATACTTACTGGGCTCAGAAAACAACATCATTTTCTTTAATGTTGTTTCTCTGTAATGATACACATAAATTTCATTTACCACCCATTTATTTGTTGTAGAAACCTATAGACACAGACCGTCTCGCTTGCGCATTTCCCCGCTTATGACTAATATATGTTGGCTTTATTGTGCGGTTGATACCTGACGCGTTGCGTTGCAGATAAAAAGAAAAGCCGGGTCCTCTCCGTGATCGGTGAAAATCGACCGGTCAAGAAATGGTTGACCTACATGCATGCACCAGGTCTTGCTTTTTCTTCTTATTTTTTTATTTATTCTACTTTTATCTTCTTTGATCTTATTTGCTTACGTCTTACTTTGTTTTGTACATATTGTTTTTCAGACACGGGAAGCTTGTCGTATTGATTACAAAAAAAAAGTAAACCAAATGTACATAACACATTCATAAAAATCATATTTATCCATCATTAATCACTCATAACTATGCATCGTAGATTCCTGCATCATTTACGATTTATCAAAACTAATTAATTGAATTTTACACTGAAGTACTAATATAATAATTTCATATAATAGGCGATAATAAAACGCTTAACATCCTTGACGTTACAGGCGTCCTTAGCTTGCTGTAACCGCTTCTGTTTAGGTGGTAAGAATGCTGAATGATGGGCCACTATTGTTATAAACGTTAGTTACCGGAGTGGACTTAATGTAGTCTGTGTGGTCGTTTCTGTCTCCAAGAAACTGCTTTTTATGCTCTATTTTGGCAGTAAATTACTGGGTACAGACACTGATATCTTAGTTCATCTGATAACACATTTGTGTATATATTACTCGTATCCCGACTGCTCCTGTATACGTACGTGCCTGGGTACGTGCTTCGTGTCTTGAGACAGACAGTCAGCTTGCCCCGCGATGCTGTAGCTTGGTAGTTCAAATCATGAGGTCAATAAAAGCTATCCTATGTTTAAAATTTGACTAAATTACTCACAGTGGAGATCCAAATATTGGATAATTTAAATTATTATGTATAAGGATTATTTTCAACGACATTCTTGCAAACTGTAGCGCCAAATTGGCACTTTAAATCACTTAATCGAGTAAATTATTTTATTGATACAAAAATAATATGAAAACGGATTTAGTTGCCGTTACGTGACATATTCAATTTGAAAATGTCACAGAGAAATGGAAGCCTCATAATACAATTTTGTGGAAAAGTATTACTTTTTATTGAAACTCTAATATGTATAGTAGAGAAGTAACTTCTGTGGAATTACTGATATTTTTAAATTAATTTTCACGGTTTTAAGATTTACCTTTGTACGAGAGTTATTTGTATATCGAGGTTCATTGGCGAGTATTTCAAATGGAGATTTTGATTGATAGACATACAAAAGCCGGCAGAGCCGAGTCGCAGTGAGGTAGCTACTGCGACGCTCATAAATCTGGAGTCGCCGGTGGCGGCCGCGCCCGCCGTCGGGACCGTGGACACAGAGCAGTTTGATTCCATAGAGACTAGCGACCAGTGGCAAACTTCCAAGATGCAGATGTCCACCGCTAGCACTTTGTGAGTCACATTTCATTTTACTTTGTATTAGCTGTAATTAATGTTACTTGCTCGATATAGATTTCTATAGCTGAAAACATTTTGAGAAACGCTTAAGTATTTTATGTTCTGTTTCTCAAGTATTTTATTTATTACAAACAGATATTAAAAATATATTTTTTTTCGTCTAATAATGAATGAGTAAGACTGTATTTTTGGATGGAATCTACGATTTCATTTAACAATGTTGATAGCATTTGAGGGTACAGAGCACTGATATATCGGTGCAAGAGTAACCCTGAAGTAAAATCTTCTATGTCGTTTGGCCAGCTATATTATAGTAGATGTTTTCTTCATGTGTGAAGGCACCTGTGATCTTTGCTTCTTTTAAATATTAGTGTTTAATTTATTTATTTTAGAACGGATATGGAATGCAGCGTAGGCCGTTGCCTGGGCCCCGAGCCCTCGGAGCAGACATTACGCGCGGTGTTGTTGGGAGCGAGGGCGGCGGGGCCTGCCAACGTGCCCGAGGCAGAGGCCGAGGCCGAGACCGAGGTCGCTGACCCGGAGGCGGGCCCGGCGGAGTTGGCCGAGGAAGCGGCGCCCTGACGGCCCTGCGGCTCCGCCATTTTGCCGTGTCGCAAGTCGTGAGACATCGTGCAGACTCGGATATTACTTACTTGGGCTGGTTTTGTGTCCATTTTAAATTGTTTATTCACGGGTCGGTGAAATCGCGATGCCTAAGTACGTTACGAATGTCGTGTCGATACTTTATTCTCAGCCACCCATTGTTTGTGGTGGCGATGTCGACGTCTTGTGATTCGAGGGTTGTAGATGAATGTAACTTAAATTAATATCTCGTTTGTATATTTTGACGGGTAATAAAACAATAAAAATTGCAGTCTACAAATGTAGACATGCATCTGTGTGCTGATGTTTCGTGCTCACATACCGAGTGTATAGCCACAACCAATCAGCATGCGGCACGCAAATCGGGCGCGTTTCATATCTGAATCTCACCGATCCGTGAGCGAAGGCTCTTACCGACTTTCCGAGCATTGATTCACTTAGTCTTCCACGGTTTCGACTCATAGGGACAATTTTTCAACTCTAAAACTATAATATCATACATGATGTGAATGCACTCGGAATCGCGTCATGAGTTCCTCGCTACAAATAATACGTATGTGATTTTATTGCGCGATAAATATTTATATTATTATATTTTCATGGTTAGAATGACTGATTCAGTTTATGAAGTCTCCTTCGATTCGAATTATTTCATTCTCTACAATAGTACAAATTTATATAGTCGTCATAAAGCTTTATATATTTTATTTTGCAATCTACGTTTACTATTTTAATTTTATATTGCGTTGTGTTTGTGTGTAAGTTCTTTTATAAGTTATCGTAATTATAATTTGTGATGACCTAAATTTTATTTTAAATTATGTTCGGCTGTTGTAATGTCAGCGCACAGGAGTATAGAATTCGTGCTGTATTATTATCCCATATAATTAGAATATTATCGAGTATGGTGATTACTGATGGTATTAAAAGGATGTTTAGGAATGTATTAGATCTTAGAGCCTTGATAATTCTTAATATTGACATAATTTTTAAGTCTGTTTACTTGATACAGTCATAGTGATTACTAGTTGAATAATCGATCCCGATATTAGGAATTTCTATTACAAGCTATAAAACTTATTACGTAATAAGCTTTTGCAATTGATAACGCTTATACACGATCTCGAACTTTCTTGAACTTTTTAGCCACTAATGAATGATATTGACAATCAAATGGTACTCTCTTGGAACTCATTAGTTATATTTTCATAAGAAATGAGTAATTATAGTCGTAGATACGAATTTATTACAACGTGAACACATATTTCCATGATGACAAATAAACTAATATATACAAGTAATAAAAAGCACACACACACAGATATTTGCGTCCGTAAGTTGTTTTAGCTGTTCTTATATTAATAATAAATGTAGATTTGTTATTCGAAGCGCAAATTGTGAAATTATGTTGTAAAATATCAAGATATTGCTTCGTGTTAGGGTGGATTTAGACTAATGGAAACGAAAAAAACTCTTCTTCCACTTCATAGATCGTATCACACTTAGAGCATTTTATAGTTGCTCAACTACATTCGCGAACAATTTTGTACGTCATTCGCTTCGTCTAAACCTATTATTTAGTGATCTGTTCTTGTCCTGTGGTCTTAGTCTAAATCCACCTTTATATTTGTTTGTGGCCTTATTATAAGTGGCGCCCAACATGGGGCTACACGTGCCTCCGACCGTACTTTCAGAATATAGAACTTTCTGGAAGTACTATTGGAGACGCCGTTATCGGCTTGTGCCGAGTGCTGTGATAGTGCGTGCTGTGCTCACCTCAAATCATAACGAACGGTTTTAAAAGTACAAAGCTAGAAATTCTAAATATAATCCGTACAATAGGGCCTATCATTAAGGACATTATAATAAACAATTGTTGCGTTGCAAATAAGCCTGTTTTGTACTAATAAAACTGTTTGGAACTGTTGACTTCAGCAATATTAAATTTTTTATAATATGTATCGGTGTCACAATAATGCTTACTGGCGACATGTGCCAATCACTGAGAGATGTAGCATCACTGGCATGTAGATTCATAGTCGACGAGAAATGATAAGGTATAATATAAATTTATTAAGATTACGAGTGATTAAGTCCATGTAACATGTTTAATGTAATGAGGCAACAACTAACTATGTTGCTATTGTACATAGTTGTTTGATGAAGTATAAAATAGGGTCTAATCACTAAGTTTTACAAAAGCCATGTTTTATCCGGTCACATGTTCGATTTAAAATTTGATGAAGTACGATTACGTATAATTAAGTTTTTAAGGTTAGCTTTAGCCATTTGACTTTGTATGTTGTTCTCTGAGACGAATTTATCTGAGTAAAACAGTTGTAGGATACACTGAGAGAACACCATGCGTTGCTGATGGTTTGGTCGTTTGTGCTGGATAGTCATGTTAGACTTATGTAACGAAATCCTCATGGGTTCTCGCATCGTTAAAATTTTGATCGTCGTGTCATGTTATTGTGTCATACAGACATTTTTTGGAATGTTTTGCGATTCACATATTGCGTAATAATAAATCTACTGTGTGAGATTGCTTTATGGACTATTTTGTAGTGACCAATTTTATCATACACAATAAACAATGTAAAATTGAAAATTTTAATGTAATTTTTATATACAATAAATAGACCATTTTATACAAATTGTGAATTTTATTTCCTCGAAGACCACTTCATAATTCTTAATGATAACATAAGCATTATAGGAACAAATAATAAGTTGTAGATACTGACTGGAGTACTACATCAGGGTTTCAAAGTAACAACCGAGAACTTTATTTTACAATTATATACAGATTTAATGAACTATACAATATTAAACTACATTATAAAAGGGCATTGAATGCGTGAACTGATTGTTGATGCTGTACCTCATAGTACGGTTTACCCTCTATTAGCTCGTTGGACTGGAAAGCACAAGGGGGGTAATTCCATTGCATTTCGTCTACATTATTATTTTGGACGCAATCTTGACCATAACCATAAAATGTTTGTTCTTGCATTTGCATTTCTGGAGACGTACTATTACTTTCTGCGGGGTAATATTGTGCTTCTTCGGGGTAGTATCCCTGATTAGGGTACTGATGCTGATCGCTATAAGTTTCCGTTTGCTGGTACCCGTTTATGAATAATTCTGGTGATGGTGTGTCACTTGACTCCGAACTGCTGGCAGTGAAATGCCATTCATCAGTTTGAATTCGTTCCCAATGCTCCGACCCAGAGTTTTCGTTGAGATTAACAAATGTTGGAGGTGATTCGAGGGTATTATCGTCAGTGGGGAAGTTTAGGTGTAAGGGCTTTTCTAATTGGAAGATTTGTTCAGGTTGAAATGATTCTTCTGTAAGGAGGGCTGACGATTCGTAGTGATATGGTTGTGGTAAGTTGGGTGTGGTTTGCACGGGTGTTGTGTAGGTGCTGTACTGCTGGGGCTCCGCTGGGGTCCACGCCATTTGACCATATGCTTGCTCTGTCTGATCTGAACGCCACCGGCATGAGCAGCCAAACTGTCCGCAGCTGCAGTTCATTACTGTTGTCAAAAATAAAAATAATTATATGATAAAAGTATCTAAATAATTTATAAATATTAGTACGATGTGTTGTGAATATTTAACTTTTTGTGGCAGTTAAGATAGGTACTCGTATGTAGGTATCTATATGATTTTATCAAATTAATTAATTCAAAATAAAGCACTAAAACTATTATGCTCGATACCTACATAAAAATGAATTATAAGACATAGGTATCTATATCTAATATATAACCTAATATTATATTATTATTATGAAAACCTATTTAATCTATACCTCTCGATTTATTCAATATACATATATGTAGGTATATTATTTGAAGAAAAACGGAAATGACTAATTTTTTTATTACCTCGTTGATTATCAGGTATAAGCGGCGGCGGCTGCGGATGTGGATTACACGGTTTTTGTGAAAGTGACTTGTCTTGCTTTACTGATAATATTTTTCCTCTGATAGGAGCAGTTTCTCTGGACAGGAATAGAGCGAGTCCTCTAACACGTTTTCCAGCACCGAGCGAACGTCTCACTTCGCTGGCGCCTTTTGCTTCGGGTCTGGGATGATCGTGTGCTCCTTTCGCTTGGAAGAATATAGCGTGTTCCGTGTGACGCCAAAAGTGTGTAACAGGATATCCGCAATGTCCACGGCACGGTTGAACTTCTAGTCTGCCGCCACACATTCTATTCGTACACGGTTTACCTGAATAGAAGATAATGATTTGTTTACAACAATATAAGGAATATTGCTTACTATTATTGGTTTGATATATTATTATTTTAGTAGTGTAGATATTAATTTAAAAGGGTGCATCACATAATTTGTACGTGTGAAGTAAATGATACTATACTATGGTCGTTTCAGTTTTATATTAGTCGTAGATCTTATATTTATTTACTAACTTTTAATTTGTCGTATTTACTAATTTTTAATCTATTTATAAGTACTTGTGTTTGAAGAATAGTCAATGCAATCGGATCGACAGAAAATTTGAAAAGGCCTACTCTATTTGAAAGCTATATTTAGAATAATTAGCCCCATTGAAGGATCTTCTCTTTTAGGGCCTTAAGTGCAACGAAAATCTAGTAGTTATCTACTAGATTTTTGTCGGAGGTTAATACATCAAGTACCAAGGTAATTGTTATTGTTTTTTTTTCGTATTATGTAGAGTTAGATATTTTCCCCTGTGTAGAGAAAAAAAATAATCTGGATTCATTACGCAATTTCATTACTAAATACATACCTTGTTGTTTTTTCCTGGCTTTATCACATATAGCTGGTCGTATATGAACTCTGGACCCATCAGCGGTGCGGCATCTTGCGGAACATACAACTACGCCAAGACAGCTTTTCTTTAATATGTGGACGTTATGGTTGTTGGTGTTTCTCATTGCCCAACCAGAGGCGTGTCTTCTGGCCTCCTCGCAGCTTGGAGGATATACTCTGCGAACGTGACCATCGCACCATTCAGCAAACGAATCGAACGACGACACACGCGGTACTACAGCGTCGTTAATGTCCCACTCAGGTGTAGACTGTCCCTCTGACATATCTGCTCGGCTGCTGAAACATAAATAAATATCTAGAGACTACAACATGGGGGTTTTCAAGAAGGGTGTATTAAAGTTACTCAATGGGCGGCAACCCGTACGTTCTCCCCTGGTATTTCAGCGTCCATAGAATACAATAACCATTTACCATCAGATCGACTCTATGCTTAATTCCCACCTTTATGATATAAAAAAAAATCTGCTAGTAGCGATTTGTATGATCGAAGATAAGAGAACTCTACTTTTTGTAATGTACCTTGGGTGTTTTTAAGATCGTATACGGATGATTTATTAAGTCGATTGTGTTCTCATACGTAACCATTAATACACATATTTCTAATTTAAGGATACTCTATAAATAACTAGTGACAACTCATAGAGCCATCTAGTCCCAAACTAAGCAGAGCTTGTAGGTAATAGACATAAGTAACTACTTTGAAATTTAATTGTGATGTTTTTAAATTAATTCAGTAATACAATAAGAACTATACGTTTTTAGATATGTAATTTGTAACTTTTATATTCAAATGGAGGTATTAGGAACATGCCTAGTTATGTAATAGTACAGACATATAAAGTGATTTATCTAGTCCCTTCTTATTTCTACCATTGAATTACAAAATAGTTAAATATAGGTTTCTATATATATATATATATAAAGAGAGAAACGAATCGTAATTTAAAAATGTAAACATCAGTGAAGGATGTTAGCTCAAATTGCGGAGAAAGCTCCCCCTCGCAAGCTTCGTTGAGCCAATTGCTTCGAAATTGCCGTCTGAAGGGGCAGGCCGAGCCTTAATTGGATAAACAACTTTGTACAGAGAGGATAATGTAGGTAAATATAAAGACTGATACGTTCTTTGAAATAAACCGATTGATGTATCTCTAGTCTCTAGGTGGGTACATAATTATATTTTAAATTTTATATAGTTAAGTATAAAATGGAAGAGTCGATATATATAGTAAATGTGGGTATTTTAATTAGATTTTTACGCTTCAAATACATATAAATTAGATGCTTTTCATTATAGGCAAGTGGCATGTTATTACATAAGTCAGATATAAAATTACTAAAAAAAATATACACATAAAATACGTAGGCACGACGATAACAGCTTTAGTTATTTTTTAAAAAATATATGTAGAAAGATATGAGACTTATGGTATGAGAGTTTGGATGTTCGGGGTATTTTTGTTATTTTTAATACAGCTGTATGGCTGAGAAAGTGGAAACAAATCTATCGAGGTAGGGTATTTACTATAAGTAGAAGTGGAGTTGCAATGAAATATATTTGCTGAAACGGTAATATATGACTCAAAAAAATTGCGCAGGACTGCGAGTATAATATAGCCATTTCTGAAGACTGCGCTGTAGGTACCTATTATGTGTGCCATCTATTAAATATACCTATTCTATTATAGATGATTCAGACTAAAATAAAGTTCTCAAAAAAGTTTATTGGCACTCGATAAATGTCATATTATATTAAAACTTAAATGTGACAATAAAACGATATTAAACTTGCCAAAATTAGTGTAGATATAAACATGGACTGTGTTGAATTGAGAAAATTATTTCATCTCTGTTACGTGCTCTACATATTTTTATTATATTAGAAAATACTTAAACCAAAAATAACTATTATAAGACAAAATCTTTGGAGTACAGGTATTATAAAAATACAGAAAAGAACAGTAAAAATATATTTACAACAATTAAATCTACTGTATTTTACGACTACTAATGAAACATTTAAAAAAGTCAATATACCTAACTACTCCTCAGAGCCGTTGAACATACTATATAGCTTTTAGAACAGTAATTTAGCATCAATTATTCGAAATATCCTAAAAAAGATCAAACTCATTTATACTTGACAAATTTTTATATGCTATCTAAATTAACTTTTGATATTAGGAATCTATATGAAACTACAGTTGCTAAATACAAAATATGTTATTGTTCATCTATGTTTTACCTAACGATAGATAAAGATGAATGTTTAAGGTTCTTTCATGCAATTTTTAAAAGTTACAAATATATATATCCATATTATTATATTACTATTTACTACTTCTAGTTCCAAGTGCAAAGTAAGTATATTTCAAGAAGATTTTATCATCGTAATATCTATTAAACTCTATTATCTTTCTCGTTTGTGAGTGTAACTTTCTTTTAAAAATGAATTTTATGTTTATCTAATATTACTTCATCTCTTATTAAATAAATAGTGACTAGCAGTTATATTAATTTATGCACAGACAAATATAGGTATATCAATATGTAATTGATATGTAGATAGTGGCAAGCAGCGCCTGCGCCTGCGTCACCGACTCAATGAGTTTCAATTAGATCCAATTGGCGTCCCTCCGGCACCTTCCACAACCCACCCCACTTTGACTACTTATTTATTTTATGGTTTGATCGACACTATGTTAACCTCGAGGGGAGTGACACCATACTAAGTAGTTTTTAATTGAGAGAATAGGTGTATTACAATACTTAAACTAATTCCTTCGATGAATTTAAATACAACTTTATAGAGATAACAAAAATAGAGATTTACGCAATATAGAAAATATAATAAAAAATTTATATATTGCGTAATCCCTATTTCCAAAAGGTTTTCACTGCGTAAAATTGCAGTATTATTGTGTATTGTAGTGCGATGATTACAGAAAACATATTTCATTATTCTATAAAAATGTACAAAAGATTAAATCTTTGATGGTCAGCATTATACTTTCTACACAGTTCAGCAATCTTGGTTCACCTAAGTATACCCATACATATTATAAATAGGCCAAAGATTTTTGAGCTATTTAGATGTCCCTTAGATTGTGTATTAATCGCGGATGGTAATTAGGTATTAATATCTGTTGCTCAATTTCTATTCTATTATTATATTGGTGTATTATATATTTTTAGTTTGTGTGTTTTTCATTGACAGAACTCTACCAGCTCGGCTTAATTTGTAGGTGTTATTTACATACACCCATATTAATGCATCCTGTTCGTATTATAAAGGTAGGTATAGGTGGTTACATTATATATAACTTTGAAAAATAGGTAAATGTGACTACATCCATCATTTAACACATACACGGTGCTAATTTTGAAAGAGACGATTGTTTGGATCGATCGATCACTTCATATGTAGCCGAATGCCTATTAAGTGAATCAATGTAGAAGTACCTACGCGATAGGTATTATTGGTCAGGAATCCTGAATTAAATAAACAATTTTCTTGTTTAGGCAGGTGGTATAGATACCTACTTCTCTTGTATTGTCGATTTTAATATAACATTATATATGTGTACATCATTGCCTTGCCTTTATTCCATTATTTGGTATAAAGGCTTCTTCCACGGATTCCTATCAACCATCATATCTGAGGTTACTATTTTTTTTATACATAGCCATATCATCTTTCATAGAATCAATCCACTTTTTTTGGGTCTATCTCTTTAATTGTAAAAGAAAGAATATCTAATTAGCTATCGCTTAATGTTACCTATGTACGTACCTATCTATTAAACATATGACATATTAGGTATAACCATTTAATATATAGGTAGGTGTCTACTGCCTGTATATTAAAGGATTTTAAATAAATTAAATTTATTTACAAAATAAATTTTAATATTATTTATCTAATTGAATAAGTGTATTTAACTTTACATATATTTATAATTTAACCTGTCAATTTGTTAACAGTCATAACTAAAGTTGCTCAAGTAGGTACCTAGCTATGATCATGACAACTACTAGTTCGTTTACACCTATTTATTGTAGTTTGGGAAACTTTTTTTATAAACTCTATCCTTCACCTATTGTAGAATGACTCAAATGTTTTCTTAAAATATTATTGTAAAACTATAGGCAGAAGGAATATTAGAAACCATACCTAAGTACGCGGTTATTGAATTTGATAACTGCTTATCATATCATTCGATTCAAGAAGAAAGTCTTAAGTGAATATAGAGTCAAATAAATAATTTATTTAAATATCTTTATCTCATATATTTGTGAATATAGGATGCAATTTGGTACTTACAGGATCACCATCTCCAAATAAATGCAAACGCCAGCACAATCACAATGCACGTAATCTTAAAATATAAAATTCACAGTGTCCACACTAGCACAATATTCACTAGTACAAAAATATATTTGGGATATTTTTTATCGCAAACAAATTTGCAATGCGCTAAATACACATAAACGAGACGAAAGCTCTGCGCGTACTAAGTTGAATGACAAACATAAACATGGGGATGATTTCTCCCCTCCACTCACTTAGGCGAGGAAAAGTGGGGTGCTACAAACGGCCAATATTGACGCTCCGTACGTATGACTCCGCCTTCTGACCAATCAGGGAACGGAATTGATTACCAATGGCAGTTTTCTACGAACGTTTTTTTTTATTTTAGGGAAAATCGTATTTAGGAAATTTCTGTGACGTATTCAGAGATCGTAAATGCATGTGTGGAAATTGATTTTATGTAAGTAGGACAGTTTGTTGGGTTGAATGAGGTCGTTGCAGTTCGAAGGTACAATAAGTTCACCTGAACAGAAACTGTAGTTTTTATTGCCTTTGTTTCCAACTATTTATGAGTAACATAGTTAAATCTAATGCACATATCTAATTAAATAAGAATGCAAAAAGTTATATTTTTAGGTATTGAATATAGGATACATACTTATATAATGACCCAAATACCATAAGGGAGAAGTAATCAATTATTATTAATTCATAAATTCAAGATAACTCTACCAATAGATATAGATATACCTATACAGACGCCCGCGGCTTCGTTTGCTACGAATTTGTATTATGTACCTATAAGTCTATTTATTTTTATAAATGATTGATTCCCAATACACGTTTTCATCCTTTCAGATTATGTTTTGTGATAAAGATAATTTTAGATAGTCCATCCTCACAATGTCTTGATTATTAATGTAACATGTAATGACGTAAACTTTTTAAGTTAAATTTTATTAAGATCTGTTCAGCTATTTAGGTGTGAAAAGGTAAAAGGTACTTACTATGAGTACGGCTGTCTTATTGCATAGGTGCATAATTTATAACATTTAATGTATCTACCTAATGTCTAAAATATAAAAAAAATACTTTATACCTATATTTTTATATTTAGAAATAAATAAATTCACTTTATAGCATATTAGCTGTGACGGAACGACTGTATTAAGGCTGGTTTAAAGTGAGACACGTTCCTGGGTGAGGTAAAATATGTATATTCAGCTCGCTAGTAAAAACTTAAAAAAAGGCCAGGAATATGGTATTACAAAACGATATAGGTAGCTATATAAAGACAGTACCTACGTTCAAATATAGAATTCAAATATATATAAATACTATCAAAAAGGTTGCTTTCGGCAACACTAGCTGTAGCCGCAAATACACCCGAGTGAAAATTAGGTATACCCTATGTATGTTATTCTAATGAATAAACTGTCAAGTTTCATCAAAATTCCTTTAGTAGATATCTAGTTTTTGCATGAAAGAGTAACAAATATCCACCCATAATCATAAATTTTGGCATTTATAATATTAATAAGATAAGTAGCATCGGAATAAATAATTTTAAAATTATGTCTGTTAAAAAGAACCATGAACAGGAGTTTAGTCAGGGCTAGGTTACCGATCATTAATAATAAACACCAAAGCAAAATTAATTTGTACTATAAGGAAATAAAATAGCATTATTGTGTGTATTTAATACAAAATCTGTGAATACAAAAATTGAATTTATACAAGTTTAGTCATTTAATTTTTTTTAGTGTACCTACACATGATTTATATATTCTTTTAAAAACGTGTTAATTTTGCGTAAGTCAGGTATCTAGTATGTATCTAGATTATTCTTGTGGTTGATTTTTTTTTATTTACGTACTTTTGATGACTGCTACCTGCCTACCTGACCTAATATTTCCAATAGGTAACCATAAAACTCGGCGGCGAGACCCACAAATGTGGAAACAATAGACGGATTAAATCATTGTACCAATAAATGAATGAGTGCCGACGTGTATTGGCTAATTTAGTAAAGGAGATAAGAATATAGAACGACCACATTTAGAATGCAGTTTTATGGCACAGATAAGTTGTTACTTTCATTATATTACTTGGAAGTAATTCTCACTTTATGTTTTCTTATTGATTTTTTTTTATAATTTCTTATAGACTTTTATAGTCATAATGTCAACTTCAAAAGCTTGGTCAGTTTTATTACCCAACTACGGTGAAACAAAATGTCTTGCCTTATATTGTCTGCATATTATCTATGTATGTAAGTATCAAGTTAAGTACATAATTTGAAATATAAGTATCGTTGGAAGTATTTTAATCGTTCGCTGGTTCTGATATCATACCTAAAAATACTAGGTAGGTATTTGTATGAAATTCTCCGCCGTGATCCGTGTTGGTTCTATAAAAGTTTTACCTCTCTTTTATTTAGCTTAAAGTTGGGTTTCTTTTTTTGAAACAAATTGTAACTAATTGTGGTTGCTACTGTATGTGTTTACATCATCAGATTATGTACTCATTGTTCGGTTCTGTAGAATCATAATGTAAGGACCTTCAATCCAACTTAAAAAAAGAAGGATATTATCAACTAAGCTATATTTTGTTATTTTTGTTATGTGAGTCTTTACTTTATTCATTTATATATCTACTGAAATGATTTTTTTTTATTTGAAGTACTCAGGTACCTTCTTCAACTAAAAATACTATTGATACCTACTTTCAAATTGGTATAGTAGTTCAAAAATATTAATTCAGGAATTTGATTTTTTTATCAAAATAATGTAGGTATATAACCTACTCATATTTTTTACCAATTGAAGTCAGTTTTTTTGTACCAAACGTACTCGTTAATGTAGGTATATGTTTAGTTATTTTGCTATCAGAAAATAGTTTAGATAAATTGTACCTACTATTTATTTGCATTTAATTTGCATACAATTGTAGTACAAATGTATTAGTCAGTGTCGGTAAATTCTACTATTGGCTGACGCAGACCCCACCGTCTTGTTTCAATTGACGCCCAAATGAAAGAGGTCGTGAGATTTCCGAACAAATTGCGTTCCGTGCCCTGCGGATGTTGCCAATTCGCAAATTGACAACAATTCACTTTTAACTAAGATGTTTCTTACTCATGCTGTGAGATAGTACTTGGTATGCATCATATAACGTGTTTCCTGTAATGTGTTAAGTAGGTGTGTTTTTATGAATTTTATTTTATTTTTTTCCACATTTCAACTTCTTTGTCTACTTACATTCTATCAATCAAATAAATAAATTTATTTGCGAACAATATAGTATACGTTGGTTGTAATTGTAGAATATAAAATCCTATTACGTTTCGCCTCGTTAGGTATGCAAAATTTTAAATTATTCAAAAATTGTTTAATTATTTGTCGTCTTCATTTTGGTTTAAGAGAATGAGGGCTATATATACTGACTTCTATATGGTAGTATGGGCTACACCTACATGAAGTGGACGTAGATATATGTATAGGTAGGTAGGTATATTTGAAATATAGAAATTGCATTTATGATGTCATGAAAATTGAACTTCGCCTATAAACAACAATTTAATTACACAAATGCTATATAATTGTGTAATTAAATTGTACAACGCTCACCAAACATTCGGCATACAGGTAAAATCGTTACAATTTATTTGCTAAACTCGCGTCGAGAGCTTTCCGAGACAGGGGTCGTCTAGCAAACAGCGAATTAGCGGCGAAACATTCGTGAATCAACATTGCCTGATCAAAGCGTGGACTCAGACATGTGGCAGCGCAGAAACTTTTTTACAGTGGTAACAACTGGTGAGTTGCCACTGCTGAGCATTATACCTCTAGTAAACCAATGTCACTAAAACTAGCCAAGTCTTTTCCTGTTAGAACTGCCTATTAAGCGAGATAAAGGGGACTTTGTAAACTCAGTCAAAACTTTGACACTATCTTACTTATCAGAAGCAGGGCGAGATTTACGCTGCTGTGATATGTGAATGGTTTAGGTATCAAATTACAGAAATATCGAAACTCTTTAATGAAAGTGGATCATTTTGTGTATTAGTTTACATAACTGGAATGGCTAAGTAGCTATCGGTTAAGTTCCAAAACAATCAATTAAATTCATTGCTTTAATTGCAATGATTTTACATAGTATACCTAAGCAAACGCATTTCTGATCTGTGGTTATAGAATCCGTAGAAGTTATGAAAATACTAAAAACAACAAGTTGGAGAAACCATTCAAATCGGAAACGTTCTTATCAAATAGGTAGTCGTCAAACTGGGTACAATACTTGATCTGCCGGTGACAATACAGATAACCCTCTGCGTTTCAACTGATACCGAATCTCCATATCCATCTACATTGAACATGCCCTATCCATAAGCCTTTACACACAAGCGACACTCAAACAAAGGATCAAATTAAACAAATCCGCAGACAATCGCGTTCCGACGAACACGACATGAAAGGCAGTTAATCAAACAACTATATCGCGAGGACAAACACCGCCCCCGCGTTTGTAGCGCAACTGTCGCTACAACAAATAGCTTTATGATTGACCTCGCACACAGACTTAAATGCACAACAATGTGGAGTTTCGAGTGTAACTAATATCATTTTAGAATAGCGCAATATTCTCCATGTTTGAGAATCTTTGTATTGCATTTCAGCTTTGCCGGCTGATATGCATTAACAAAGTCATATGTATTCATAAGTACTTAGGCGTGATAGCGATTTATTCTTCATATTTCTTCATAGTCGAAATTAATTTACTTAATTCATAAAAACATAAAAATACTAATACACATTATGATTTTTAATTAAATTTAATCTATAACTGTCTTATGCGACTTCAGTTTATAACTAACATAACTGATGAATTAATTATATAGGTAACTGTAATTGGACTGGCAAAGAAGCTAGCTTCACACCTAGGACTAACACATAGGAATAACTCCGTGGAAATCACGTTATCATGTGATTTTCATGGTGTTACTCTTGCATTAATCTTCGGGACGATTAAAATATCAGGTTTCTGTTCAGTGTCTTGCCTGCCTTTTAACATTATCTAACCATAACGTCTTATAAAGTGAGCTTCTTGACAGCTGAAATTAGTGGACAAAGCTCTAAAGAACGCTTTCGGTATTTTCTCTAACATTTAGGTATTAAATATATAT